CATGAGCTTTAAAGGCATTCTGGTGTACTCTGAGAAGAACAGTAAGTGATAAGACATTTACTTTAAGCAAAAAAACTAATTTATTATTCAGTATTTCAGCTCTATTATTATAAACCTTTATTTAGACAAAATCCATAGAGACCAAGGTCTCATTTTCAAAAGTTTTAGTCATAAAAACACAGATAGCAAGAGTAGCGAGAACCATCGCCTGTACAAAATAAAGTGATTCGTTTTCATCGAACCCTGTTACTGTAAAGCTGTTCGAATCGTGGCCTATCTTCTATTTGCAATTAATATGCATTAAATCCAGTTAAATTATTTAAATGAAAATGATAATCTACTCTGGCTAAAGTAGTTTATCAAGAGTAAAATAATAGCTGTGATCTATACACACCTCTGCATTAGCAACCTGCTGAAATGAAGGTACAGCCACCTTAACACTCTCTCTGGTCTGTGTATGTTTTGATAGTCTGTTTTACCGTTCAGTCGAAAATATATCGACTGAACGGTAAAACGGACTATCAAAACGTACACAGACCCTCCTCTTCCTTAAGCTCTTTGACCTCATCATCTCATCAGTATCCGGGCCTCATTTTTCATGTTCATAAAAGTTATCACCACGAAATCGCCTCATTCTACTTTTGAGTTAAAAAAAGAACCTGCAATCAGATCCAACTGTTCTGGTTTAACGTTAATGAGTGACTGCGTGCACTGAACATGGGGGGGTTACTTGGCAACTCGTATTCTCAGCTCCCTCCACACATTTTCTATAGGACTACGGTCCAGAGTCTGGCGAGGCTTCTTTGTTAGTGGGCACTTACAAAATTGGCAAGGGGTCAAATAATGATAGCCGTTACTGTATGTAGCATTGTTGCAAATAGAGCACAAGTGACTAAAACAATTTGGAAGACACATAATAATAATATATTATTATAATAACATCATTTCTATAACTCTAACGACAGCCAGAGCTGCACTTCTCAGCGGGAGGCTTTCTTTCATAAAACTGTTAATCATGAAAGGCCAGGCCAGAAATGGAACACTCTCAATACGTCCTACTGTGCAAATGACTGCTTGCAGGCTTTCTGATAATTAATGTTACTTTTTTTTCCCTAAATTGCGATAACGAAAGTTAACAGTCGACAAAGTTTTGCATGCAGTGTACGTTATCCTTAACCCAGCAGGTCTGACCTGTAACGGTACAGAACGTAACTCAAACTTTAACGGAGGGAAATGAAGACGCTGTAGACATCTGAACGCTGATTGGCCAAGACTCAACACGTCAAAGATGTTCTATTGCGAAGATCACGACATCACCTTTTCTCCTCGTCTCACTCCAATCTGAGAAACGCTGGCTGGCCAGTCGACCCCCCCAAAAAAATCTCTACGGATCTACATAATTCACGTGGATGATATATTTTGATTCAAAACGCCGAAAAGTGGCAAGTTTGCAGGTATGGTATTAACTGCGTATGCGTTTAATTGGCTTTAATGTCAGTGTACATTCTCTGACTTGACATACAGTAATTTGAATTATCAGCGATAATTACATACCTTGCCGTCTTCCCAGTACAGCGCCAGGCACTGGTCTCCAGGTTTCCAAGCTTGTTCCACAAAATGACTTCTCTCTGGTCCTCGAGGTCCTGGACCTTTGCCTTGTCCCGGCCTCCTTTTGGGTCCTGGGTTACTGGAGGCGTTTTTCTTGGGGGGGGGCGGCTCCCTGTAAGGGACACTCGGCGAGTTTGTTGGCTTGATCGGCCCAGTTCTTTTGTGCTCCATGTCTCCATTTTGGAAATGAGAGGGATCCCCTGTCGCCATTCGAAAGTCCCGCGATAACCCCACTTCTTGGGGTGTCCCTGATCTTCCTCCCCTCGGGTTAAAGTTTGGAGGCCCACCATCCCTTTGTCGGTCAAGGTGGTCCGAGTTTGGCCGGTCCGTCTTCCCCTTCCTCCTGCTGCTGCTGTTGGGTTCTTCAGTTCTGTCCGTACGCTTACTATTCCCTCTGCCATCGGGCTCGCTGCCTGCACAGTCAGTCGGTTTAGCCATGGGTGCGTTGTCTCTAGCCCCTCTCCTGTTGGACGGCCCGGCCGTGTTCCTGCCGCCTCCGTCTCCATTTCTGGATCGTTGGTGGTGCGATGCGCCGAACTCCGTCTGCTGCTGAGGTTCTTTTGAATGTGGGAAAGTAGTGGAGAAGGATGAAGGGAAAATGGGCTCCTGTCTCGTCTCTCTCCTGTCATTCTGCGATCTGTCCGATCTGCCGCGCGACCATCTCTCCTGGCCCTTCCACTGCTGGGCTTGAGCTGACGTTTGGGAGGTCGTAGAGTCAGAGAGAGGCTCCTGGCCAGGTTTGGGAAAATCCAAGTCCCGGTGGAAGCGAGGTGGTCTGTCATTCCTTTGTTGCCGGTGGTCATTATGCGAGGAGAACTTGGTCTGAGATGTGTCTTTGGAGTAATAGTCGGAGTTGGAGAAATTGGCTTTACTCTCATGGTGTCTCTGAGGTCCATGGCTCTTTTGCTCTGAGAAAACAAAATAATAACAAAAAGCAGCGTAATCAAAAGCCACGGCAAAACAATAGGGGATAAATAATTCAAGGAACATTGACAAGACCACATTACAACTTGTTATTCAATGAAGATTAACTATCGAAAACACTCAACAAAAACATGAAGCCAATAGCTGTAAATAAATGAACAAAATATCATTAATGGAATCACCAAACCACATCATCCTTGGCCAAACACAATCGAGCATTAAAATACACATAACATATCACAGCACCGTTCTTCCACACCACACTGATCTCAGACATTAAGAGAACATGACTTCTGAATCAGAAGCGATCTGACCCGTCTGAATGCAAAGGTGACTCTGTCTATGATGGTGTAATGTTAGTAATTAGTACATTCTTACTAAAGGTTGGTTTGAAAAAGTACACCAACATTTAAACTCATAAAATATGTTCTTTCCTTAACTAAATCAAGTAAAGCGGTTAAAGTGTTTATGAACAAAGAGAGGTGAAAGAAGGTAGTTTACAATGAAACCTAGAACACGTCACCCACCATCGATGGAGAAAACTCCCATCTTGGATTCAAGAAAGTCAAAAAGAGTGCTTGGTCCGGACGGCCTTCCACCTGCTCCCTCCTCCTCATCTTCATTTCTGGACCTGCCTCTTCCTCTTCCTCTGGCTGAGAAGAACCCAAAGAACAAGATTATGTAGACCCAATTAAGAACAGTTCATCTATGATTCTGGATATTCCAGCCCTGAGTGTCTACATCTAAGGTTTATGTGACCCGGGTCTGGTTGTGTGCATCCGTGTGTGTCGCTGTTTCAAACCGGAAGAAACAAAACAAGAACACTTAAATCCCTTAAAGATGACATGAATTTTGGAAAGGTTAATGTTCTGCAGCAGACTCAGAGGACCGATGTATGCAGCAACAATAAATATGTGTGTGTGTGTGTGTGTGTGTGTGTTTATTTGTATGAACCTCTGGGTGGGGGCTTGATGGATTCAGCTTCCACAGGAACGGGTCTGCTAGCAGAAGATCCAGTCAGTAGGCTGTTTAGTGCCACTTCAAGGTTGTTGTTGTTATCCATTAGTGCCTGCCGAGCATCCTCCCTGTCGAAGCCCATCTCCATGATGTCTCTCAGAGCACGCTCATCCACCTAAACAAAGGATAGAGGGTATACAATGTATAGGGAGATGGGGACAATACATGTGGATGGATAATGGTTGTCTAGTAATAATAGACTTGGACGTGAGGTTCACTGTGACCGAGAAAAACACCATCCACAAAGAAGCTCCTTCTGACGTGGGCCGTACATTGGATAGCACTTAGTAAGTGCATCCGAGTTACAAACCATCATTAACACATTACCAAGCCAAATGCTATATAATATCCTCTTCCATCCTATTTATGTGTTCAGCCCAATTGCTGGCTGAGTTCTGCCTAGAAACTGTCAGGTCACAACACAAAGCTAGACAAATGGACCGCCCCTTGATTGGAAAACGCGACCAAGCCTCCCAATTCATTTAAGTTTCTACAAAATCATAATCGATGCCTCACCTAGTCCATGAGCCATGAAATAAAAGACGAAAGAAACCAAAGAGGAACGCAGGACGAGTTCCAACCTTTCAATTGCTTTGTTACAGTGGATGGAGGCTTCGGTAATGTAACGGTAGAATCATAAATGGCTTTCATTACTAACTCAAAACAGACTTGTTTTAAAAGTTGTGGACGAAGTTTGTCTCCTCACCAGCTCTCGGTAGTTCCCATCTTGTCTGCTTTCCGGTCTTTCGACTCTGTCTTCCCGTCTCCTCTGCTGGTACGAGTCTCGGCCCCGAAAGGAGGAAGCGGCACTGGATAAATTACCGCCTGCATTTCCTCCACCCCCGAACGTCCTCGGAGCCTAACGAGTGAAAAGAGCGAGACGATCGATAACAATGAAGAACTACAAACTTTGTAGTTAACAATGTAATTAGGATTCTTAATTGGAAGAGTTGCTCAAATGTCAAAAGCAATCAAGGTTAAGATGAATGCCGATAAGGGGCACAATCAATAAGAGAAACAGCAATTAGTGGAGAAAGGGGCGGTCCTTAAACAAATGTTCAACGTATAGGAGGGTGAAAGGACGTTGACTTGGGATACTATTACAATTTGTTGCCTCAGACAATTATAGTGCAGTATAATAGATTGATAAGAGTCTATTAATACACAATATTTTGAGCGACAAAGCTTACAAATGTATACAATACTGCAGGAGCTCTGTGAAATAATCAGGTACCTTGAAGCAACATGAGTAAAGACTCATGATATGTGTTTGCATACCTCTTTGGTCTTGGCCACCTCAGCAATAGCTGCCGTCCGCTGCTTTTCGAACTCGTCATTCTCATCGGGACTCTTGGCTACATTCTGAGACTGGAGGGTCTTCCTCTGGTCCAGATCCCTGCTGTCTACTTCATCCTTCCTCGCACACTTCTACAGGGAGCAAATAGAGAGTAAGAACGACCGCAATGATGTACAGTTCCTTAAGAAAAGAAACAAAGTCGCCTGCAGCGTTCAAGCTACACTCTTTTAAGATTTTGTTGTAGCAACTAACAGCAACCCAACTCCCAAAGCGGCCTCCCAGCTCACGGTTAATATTTTGAAACTCAACTGTGAACTCTATTATATTCCCAAGTGACTTGGGAAGAAACGAGATGGAAATGCAACGCTTTCTGCAGCTGTTTCTGTGACTGAGGGACGTGATGAGTCAGTGAAGTGACCGACGGATTGGAACATCAATCTGCTACAAATCTGATGATTTTGTCAACAGAACAAACTAATAATCGAATTTAACACTCCTCAGCCAGCAGGTGAATTGAATGCGGATACAGCAGACTGACTGGCGGTAAATTCCCGCTTTGAGAAGTGCCATTACACACACGACCATCCACAATGTTCACCTTCATTAAACCACGTGCAAATGACACCAGGGTGTTACAAAAACACACACACACGTGCGCGCATCAGACAGGTGCGTTATGACTCCATATTCTGCCTGTTTACACGAGAGCCATCAGATTACCGAAGCTCATTACTCCTGTGCGTCACAGCCTGCCTTCAAACTTCAAAAAGAATTCCGTGGTTAGCGTTTCATCATTGACATGCACTACGGTGCTGTATCGCGTTGCAAAGATACGATGGGACGATTCACAACGTGAGATGCGGTGAGTGGAAGGAGTGTTGGACTGATGTTGGTCATCTAGACGGCTTCATCAAACAGTCTTTAATTATTTCTATTCGTTTTTGTAATTACAAGTTACAAAATGTGCGGTGCTGTGCGCTCACATTGTGCCGCTCGGACAATTTCTGTATTTGTCTGTTTGTTGAGCTGCTGCCGTCGTGCGTCACTGTGATTGGCGCAGCTGTTTAAAGTTCAACATTGCACCGCTGCACCTACATGCACCAAGACAGCAGGTGCTGTTGGAGACGTCCACACAGTCCGACCACCTGGCTCATGCTGTTGCGCTCGCGTGATTGATATAGGGCTCATTATCCTAATTACTCCTGGTGGCACCTCGCTATGCAGATGGAATTCATTTGCCCAGGTTCTGAGATCTCCACCACTGATATTACAATTCGTTGGGATTGTATTTGTGGTCATAAAAGCTTTGAAAATATCTCGTTTCAAAAAACAATGTCCCGGTTACTCTGGATAATTCACAGGCCTCGCTGTCGACACTTTTTTTCTTTATATATTTAGTAGAAAAGAGTTCCCAAAGATAAATGTCTGTGAGCTCTGCAGATAAGCCAGGCTTAAGCCAGGCTTAACCAAGGCACTGGCACAGGGCAGATACAACCCAACCTATCCGCATGCCTAGATATCTAAGTGGTAATTGATGTAAACATGACGACTAAAACGCGCATGCTACTTTCTTTCAATGTTCTGAAGTGGACCTAACACTTCACTGATAGAAAATATCATGGACTCGTCTTCAGATGAGCTGAAGGAAAATGCGAGCATATATTTGAAGAGACTCTGCTTCAGAGCGCCAATTTACCTTGAGATAGGATATTATTTACAACCCTCAGCTTACATCCAATCAGCACTGAGCCCCGGAGTGACCCAGCATTACAAACACATTTACACTGAAAATCTAGAGAACGATAAATGATCATTTCCAAAATGCTCATCATCCAACTTCACAAAGCTTCGGCAAATCTGGAGAGAGGAGTGGGTGAAAATCCCCAAAATCCGAGTGCCAAGCTGATCCGGATGTATCCCGCTCCGGAGCGGGGATTCTTGCCAAGGGAGCATTGACTCAGGCTCAGTAGTTTTCAGAAGGAGAAATGATGCGGCGATGTGCAAAACGTGGTGGAATTAAAGGGCGGTTCAATAGCTTCCCAGTGCATTGGGAATTGAGCATCGGTTATTCTTTTCAAATCTCAAACTGTGTGTAAATATGTTTGACAACGTGATGCAAGTAGATTTCTGATGGTGCAATTGAGAAGCCGGCATATCTCCCCTCACTGCTCTCAACTCTGTACAAAGGCTACGCGTAACGCCACGGATATATTGAGAAGGTGATAACTGTTCATTGCACAGTTTGCAATACGTGTGTGTGTAAGACAACCAAGCAGAATAAAAATTCAGTGATGCATTTTAAAGATTCATGAAGACTCTCGCAATTATTAAGATCAGAGAGAACATTTACAAGAAAGGGGAGACATCAAGGCCCACTCCTGGAGCCGGGCCTTTGTCTGGACCCTCAGACACAATTGTGAGGTTATTGTTATTCAACAGCACCTCTCACTTCTATTAAGCCACTGCTGAAATCTCATTTCCATAAACGTTTGCTATTTTATGATGATGCTTCTAGTTTATTGTTTTCATCTGGTGTTTATGTCAGAGAAGCACTTTGTAACTTTATTTTGAAAAGCGAACTGTCGGGAGTTAATATTACCCTCACCTGACCAAATGGCACAAAGGGAGGAGGTCCGCCTTCGGCTCCAATGTTACTCCTGCTGTGCTTGGCCAGACTCTGCAGGTTGAACGGTAAAGGGAGATCATTCTTAAGAATTCTCAGTCCTAGCAAGAAAAATCACGGACTGGAGGTGGCCTTTAATGCAGACTCAAAATCATAACCAACACATGAATGCAATATCAACACACAACCCTCACCCTTTGTAGTTCCCATTTCTCCACCATGTGATCAACCTCTCCTCCGAGGACAGAGATTTTTGAGTCATCGAGCAGCAAAAGACCATTTTTAACCTGGACCGTACCAAGGAGCTTCACCTTTGTTCCAGGAGGGGTGTTCAGACTGAAAAATAAAACAAAAAAACAATAAAAACGAACAGTATGTGTGAAAGGATGCTTCAAATATTAACCGACTGTTAAATGTAGAACTAAGAACGGAGTCTACCAGGCCCCACACCCCGTTGACTTTACCCATACCTCTTTACAAATGACATGGAGTAGTGCCGCCAGGGGATGGGTGGCGAGGCTATTAGTAATCCCAGCTGCTCACCCATCCTCATGCTAAATTAAAAGCCCCTCTATCTCATCAGGCCTGATAAGGCCTCTGCCTCTCTCATTAAGAAAGCACAAGGACTTAGAGGGATTTCCAGCCATTGATGACGGACGCAAAAGCAAACAATTAGGGATTTCACTCCAAACCTCTGGGATGGATGTTGTTCTCATGATAGCAGCCAGTGCACAAGTGGGGCTCTGGCTAGCCTCGATTCAATCAAATACAAGCGCATGCACACACAGTATTCCCCCTCTAATCAACGTCGCTCCTCAGTGCTCAATTGTCATCCCTCTCTATCGCTCGTCTCGCACACTCAGCGGGGTCCTGTAATCCATCGCGTCCTCCTTTGTCGCTCGCTTACGGCCTCACGCACACTAAAGCGGACACTTTCATAAGCGACACTAACCGCCGCCGTTGCCAGACGCTCATAAAGAGGGGATTTGTTCTGCAACGCTCCTCTCTTCCCGTCGGGAAGGCAAGGCCCACACTCTGACCACTCCACCTGTACCAGCCTGGCTAGTCGCCATGGCAGCCGTCACCAGGGCCACCGTTGCTGGGATGGAGATTTAATTAACGCCAGGGAATTGTTAAGATAGCTGCCGCCACGTGGGAATTGCAGATAACGGGAAAATTGTAATTACAATACACTAAATGCCACTATTTGCATATTTCCCATGTTGCTAAATAGAGCACTGCTGTTTGGGTACCTGATCTCAGACAGGTGTTGGAACTCCAATCCGACACAGGTGGTATGCCCATCCGTCATTTGAAGGCGCAGCATCCGTGGCGCGCCCTGGGACTCCTCGCGGTCTTTAGGAGCCGAGACATTCCTCACCTTCTGCACCTGAAGAACACACGGACCTTCCAACTGGCCGAGTGCAAGAGACAAAAAAAACAGACAGGTGGCTTGAGAGGGACATCAGCAGCATGTGGGGGGGGATTGCAACAGCAAAATAAGAGCAAAAGCTCTTTTGAGTGCTTAGAAAATTATTTCTAAGGCATAATCAAAATGACTCCTATTCAGCACACCTTTGTCAGCACAGGTTTCATTATTTCTCCAAACTGCTTCATGACTAACAGCGTCCATTTCATTCAAAACCATTGAATCTAACCTCTCAAAGAAGCATTTCTAGCTCTGCGGAAAGGAACGTGTACCATCTGTAAATGCACTCTACAAGCTGCACTGCGATCTGTAGTTTAATGTAAGCATAGATGTTCAGATTCATTAATCTATTACATATAATTAATTACGTTAGACTTCGTGTACACTGTGCCAAGCAGCTCTGGTCGCTGAAGGGAGCGGAGGTTACAAAACGTGATTTAATCCTTTCGACAATATTTGGAACATCTTTTCTTTACAGTTGCACAACTCCAGTTTCACAGGACAAGAGACGGTGCTCTGCTCCTTGTTTTGTCGGTGTGTTGTGGCCATCTAGTGGCACACATGAAAACCGCATTTCAGCTGAACACTTTGAGCCTGCACTGACTTTCAGCCCTAACGAAAAACCAGTAACCGTAGCGCATCATTTCCCACTGAGTATCACAACTATAGCGTTGAAAGGGCTGTGTCATCATTTATGTGCAACTCACCTTCTCAGTTCTTCCACTATTGATATCAGACGGTAGACATTTTTCCCCAATAGGCCTGAGGTCGCTCTGCAAAAAAGAATAAGAAGATACTGCTCAATTAAAAATAAATAACAAATAATGAAGAGAAATAATGCTATAGAGTTCCAAATATGTGTTTACCTCCACTGTTTTGTGCCTCAAAATAAAAAGAATCTGCCCAAACATATTAATCTGCATGTTAGGGAGGGGCCCTTTACATCGTACCCTCAGTCCCAGAAATGGACATGATGGAGCCAATGTGAAGCACACAAGTCATTGCAGTTGTTGCAGTACAAATTAAATGGTGTCATTTCTTTGTAACTAACTTTATGATAAACTGTTTACAAATTTTCTCCACACTGCAAAACTCCGCCAGATATCTGTCTTCTGCATCAAGGCACTTATTCCTTTATGCAATCCTGTTTCAGTGCAGCTGACCATATCTCTAACAGCAGGTCTTTTATTTCCCCAGGTAACATAAAAAAAACTAATTGCTTCTTCATATCGATGTCTCAATAAATTTCTCTGAACACAGTTACGATACAATTATTTGAAAAGGCTGCATCTCAGCTTAGCAACAACTGCTTCCCAATTAATCTTAGAATCTAGTTTCCCTAGAAGGAAAGACTTCACTACAAAGCTCCAGCCCACAGCTGCTAAATGTTGGTTGCAGTAAGAAGTCAAAGTGCAGTCCGAGATCTTTTTTGGCAGCCCTCCTGGCCAAAACTTAAAAGGTCAAGGCTTCTGCAGTAAATTCAACTAGTGCGTGTTCTGGACTTGTCTGCTACTGCGGAGCAGGGAAGGAGCGTCACTGCCCGTCTGACACAAACAGCATTTTCAGTTCTACGACTGCCTGTGGTTCCTATTTGTTTATTTCCACTTTTGTGTTTATGGATTGTCCAGTGTGTTGTCTACATTGGCTTTTTTTTTTTTTTAAATTTTAAAACATTTTTTATTATTACTATCATTATCATTGGGGGCGGCCGTGGCTCAATGGGTAGAGAGGGTTGTCCGGTAACCGTCAAGGTCTGCGGTTTGATCTTTGGCTGCTACCTGTGCCGAAGTGTCCCTGAGCAAGACACTGAACCCCTAAACTGCTCCCCGGGCGCTTCTCAGCAGCCCACTGCTCCCAATAAGCTCGGGATGTAACCCAATGCAGAAGTTAAATTTCATGTATATGACAATAATCCTAACCTGTTATTATGTTGTCTCTCCATGCCTCGTATTAATTTCATATTTCATGTTGTAGATGTAGAGAAAGGACATAGTTTGATGTGAAGGTGCAAGATAATCTTTAGAGCCGGGGGGACTGAAGATGGAAAGAGCCGACGCTGGGTCCGCCAATAGTGGGACATACATAATTAACAATAGGCACATTATGCTTTTCACACAAATCCACTTACACCAGTTAATACATCACACTGAACGTTTAACGCCCAGTTGAAAATTGTGTCTGTCGCTTTGTCTGTTTCATTAGCATGTATGTCGGCATACCCCTAATGAAGTACCACAACACTTAATAAACCTATTTCCCCAAAACTGCTTACAGTGCAAACCCGTTGCTGAACAGTGTCTGTATACAGCAACATCAATACAGAGCAGACTAAATGGACATGCAAATCTCGCAGGAGGAAAACTTACGTCAAGTGCAATACGAATAATGTCATTGTGTGTTACATTCTCAGCAGATCCTTTCAGCTCTGCTATGCCTTCATCACTGAGGTACCTGCAAGATGGCAGACAAGGTGGAGAGGAAAGATGGTGAAGATGGCAGAGGTTTTAAATAGGAGGTGGGCATGCCTTTGATTCTAATCACAAGAAATATGCAAGGTATATGTAAATAAGTCATGTACAATTCTAATGTGCTACACCGCGTGGTAAGAGTCAACTATGAGTTCATTATTTATTTGTTTTAAAGCCTCAGCATCTTAGGTCAGTTTGCGCAATTTGCCAAAAACCACAACCTCGGAAACATCGCAAAAAAATGTCTCTAAATGTGGAAGGCACATGTTATACTGACTTGGATTCATTTTATTAACTCGGATAAATACTGTTACCAATCCAGGAAGGAGTGGAGTTATTCCATTCATAAAAATACAAAAATAAGAATTGGGTTTAAATGTAGCGGCTCTCTGACCGCCCCTGCGAGTAACGTTATTACAGCACACCAGTCAACACGAACTGTAACGTCCAGTCTGCGTTATGCTAGCGGCATGCTAACTGTGTATTAGCTGTAGCCGTCGTTGCTAGGTTAACGCTGTTCGTGTGGCTAGCTCCGAGTTAGTTCACACTGATGTTCGCCTCAGCAGAACGAATAACGTCACCACGATCCTAAAGGGGTCGCATGCACCAAGGAAACCGTCGCGTTCTAATGTATCCATGCGTCCAGGCTAATGAATAGTGTTGTAAGCCTTCACCGATCTGGCACCTCAGTGAGTTGACGTTGGTTAGCTCACTGACATTAGCTACCAGGGTACCTACCAGCCCTCTTTGGTCAAAGAAGCGGCCAAATCAGTCATTTTTCATCCACACTGTAGATGTGTAAGTAACGACACCAACACGTTTGAATTGAGCACGCTCCAATAACGACTATCTGTTTTGGTAATGCATCTTCTCCTTCTAACAATGATAACGCTCGCTAATGTGACTATTGAACCACTCGCTCCACGTAACATGCGTCACCAGCCGAGACGCGTCTACGGAGTGCCGAGAGGGTCAAACTAAATTTCAATGCCATTATTCTTCTCTTATGGATATTTTAGATTTTTGCCGTGGGAAAGGATGTCTGGCATCCATCGGTAAAGGACAACATTTCACTGGACTCATATCTGAACTCATGGCGAATTCAGTGAATTAGTGAACTGTCCATATAAGATGCTGTTGAATAGAAGAATAGAATAGAAATATACTTTATTCATCCCCAAGGGGGAATTTGTCTGTGCAGCAGCAAACAAGGTTACACAATAAAATAAAAATATTAAGTGTGGAAAATGCACAATATATACAATATAATAAAATAACAGAGCAGGACCTATTACATTTAAGAAAATAAAGTAAATACAAATGCACAGTATATACACTAAATAGAATCGTATTAAATTAACTAAATAGGAAAAAATAAACAAAACAGTAGTGCACAAGATCACCAACAGCAGCAACAACAGTGTAGCAGTGTTATAGTCTTGTGTTTGATTTGGCCAGAGGTGATATATTATAGAGTCTAATAGCAGAGGGCAGGAATGTTTTCCTGTATCGGTCCTTGTGACAGCGCTGTCCCTGCAGTAGGTGGTGGAGAGGGTGGTCCGGGTTTTCCAATATGGATAATAGTTTCTTCAGTGTCGCAGTTGCATCTATGGTATAGTTTACATTTTATACCCCAATTTTGTTCTTGGTGTTCACCCCTAGTTTTTCGGCTGAATTGGGTAATACCTGCCCCGGATTAGTTGTAAATCAAATAAAACCCTGGATTCTAATATAGTGATACAATTTTAATTGTAAGCACAAGATGGCAGTATATGCACACTGAAGTGTTTCACAGGATTTAAAGACGCCCAGCAATAGAATGGTCCAGTACCAAGCTTCATTGTGAGGATAACATTTCCATTATTGAGTCCGAGCCTTTAAGTTTCAGTCTGATCGTCCTTTTTGACGAATAATACTTGTTCTGTATAAAGTAGACAGCAACATTGTTTCATTGCATTCATCGCATACAACTTGAGACTTTGAAATAAGGTTGGATTGTGTTGTCACTGGTACACCCATTGACGTAAAATTACTTTTTTTTTTTTGTTGGCACACAAACGATTAGAACAATACATAAAACATTAAATTATCAAAAAAATAAAAAGCATTCAAAAATAAACATTTACTCTGTTGTTGTTTATGAATTGAGCAACTTTAACACACAATACTGTATAAAGGAAACATTTCTGATTATCTTTGAGGCTCATTTTAACAACCGATTTATTTTAATGAATTGAACCTTTTTGTATTTGTTCATGATATGACAATGTTGTCTTGAAATACTAATGCCAATAGAGCACACATAATTCAATAAGAAGAAGAAATCATCAATCATTCAAGCTCAATTAGATGGATTTTTTGAATTTGGTCTTTCTGTTTAAGTGGCAGAGATCAATGTCATTATCAAAACAGAAAAGTCAGAATTTCCATCATTTGGCCTCTGGGGTTTTTCGGATTGTATATATCCCTGTGGCAATTCTTTGATCGATTTGGAAGGGTAGATCTCTCGTTTTCTGAGAGGATTAGTAAGGCACAATGCCACGAGGCTTGTGTTCGGCTAGAATAGAGGCAGAGCCTTAACACACTGCCGGCAGCAATGCCGACAGCCTTTCAGTGACTTAAAGAAGAAGGGTCTTTAAAGATAACAAGATTTCAGGAGGCCGAATTCAAAGAAAGTCAAATTTGATTTCATAGCTAAAGGTTTCCTTCAATAGTGACATTTGACTTTAAGTTTTGCTTTGGAATAAAAACATCTTAAAATCACATTTTTTTTCATTCAAAATGCGCATGCTAAATCTGTTTCCAGCCATTCACATTACAAACCATGCTTATATAAATCTACATTCGTTTAACAGTTTAACTATTGATGAGAATTCATCCCAGTCCATTGCATTTTTGCAGATTGACATGGTAATAGTGGAAGCATAATTATACTGAATCACTGCTCCACTTGTAAAAGATTGATGCTGGTAATATAATAGCTGCAAATTACATGAGCTCCGAGACAGCTGAAATATGTGACCTGCTTGTTAAGTATAGGCTACTCTTGCTCTTGTGGTGTGGCAAAGGTATGCTTTTTTTTTAAACTGCCAATCAAAGTGTAGGATACACATGTGCTATAATCATTTGACTTCAGCGCTGAGGTCTTAAGACGGATTGGCATGGCCCCAGCTGTCTGGAAGCACAAAGGCAGGTGAAAGGTTAATACCACTTGTGGCTTTTTATCCCATTACAATCGTGAGGTCACTTTTGTCACCAAGAAGAAAGTTCCAGCCGCATCAAGCGCAACTGCTGAATGACCACATCAGCCGTGGAAGAGCCATGTTCATCGTCATGTGTGGTTCATTATCACACATAATTAATATTCTCCTGCGTTTCACTAACAGGGGCACAAATGTTCCATATTGGCTTTACATAGAAGAGCTCTCTCTCTCTCTCTGATACTGTGTTTCTTGGTGAAGCAGAACATTCTTTGAGTAGAGCACATGAGAAGGATCTCACAAAAGTTTCTGTTTGTTGCATCACATCACCTCATTGCTGTTTGCATCAGACAAGCGAGGCTATTTGGGATTTTACTGTAGCTTTAGGCTGCCTTTAAAATGGCCAAACAAAGCTGAAAACCAATAGCGTAAAGCATTTTCAGTATAACAACCTGATTGAAAAAGAAGAAGGAAGAAACAAAAAAAGAGCAAAGCATCAATTGTGTTCCACCCTGAAATTCGCATGGGAATGTAAGGGTTAACGTTAGTTGAATCCTGGAAACATGACAGGGATGGGGAGAAGGGCAAAACATTTTCTGAAACATACAGAAAAGCGTCCGTCATCATCTATCTGCCAAGTGAGTAATACTAATGCTGCAAGGAGACTCAAACTCAGATGTTTTTCTCATCCAAAATCTGTTGTGCAATTTTTTAAATGACGTGGTCATTCCTTTTCAAACTTATCAACCGTGCACATTATGAGGCCTGTTATGACTCACATAAAACTGATTAAAGCTTTCAGGGACGTGTTTTGTGTTGACAACCGTGTAACGGTAAAATGAAGATGCCACAATCAAAAACTATGTTAATAGTTTTTAGGTTTGGGTTGGCCTCCAAAACCGTGTTGTTGTAAACTTTATACAGGAAACTCCTTAATAACTGGCTATTAGTGTTGTACTTTGAAGTAAATGTTGCGTTTGTTTTTGCACAGCTTGCATGGTTGGTAGTTCGATTCAAGAAAAATTTGCCCTGTGGGTTAATTCACATCACTAATTTGTTACGCGTTTACATCACACGAACGACTGCAAACCAACTGTAACCATTTCTGCATCCAAGGCACACCCAGGTCACATAAACCGTCGTGCCTACGGGAGACCCAGGTGGCTAAAACGAGCCAATACGAGGCAGAGCTGATTGACAGCTCCCTGCGGCCAATCAAATGCCTTTTCAACCGTACACAGAGGGGGCTGTACCTAGCTCAGTGGATGCTATTGGCTGAATCAAACACGCTCAGCTGACATCCACATTGCGCGGGTCTGTCAAAAAAAATATCTGCCAAATGTACACAGCCAACGATTCAACTACTGCTTGTAATGCTTGTGTAGTTTACAATTGATGGACGGGTTAAAGGTGTCAGTGGAGGTAAACCGGTACGTTGTGTGCAGCAGTGCTTCTGCTAGCGGGAGCGTTACATTAGCCTAACGCGACAGTCCATAAATTGGATTAGCGCTAAGTAAAGCCACCAGTGAATGATAGTTTAGCAAACTCGCTAGCGTTAGCTAAGTAACGTGAACGTTACCCGGTACGAGGTTGACGTTTTTTAGTCACGATCAGCTCGTGTGGAGGTCAATCACTTTTAAGATCAACAACCATGGACGGTTACAGTCAGCGGTTTGAATCCTCTACCGGTCGAGACGGTAAACCTCAGAAGAAGAAAGGTTCCTCCAACCCCAGCACATGTTACGACGACGGAGACCGCAAACCAAAGTTTGTAAGTATGGCGGACTGAAATGAATCATTTGTTTTATTTTAGCTGCAAAATAATGTCCTCTGAGTAATACTTGTCAACATGTCTACGTTATCTCTGCTGTCTCTGATACCACCTGTGGACACCTCACACACACACACGCGCGCACACGGAAGTGCAAAATCAACTAAGGAAAACGTGTCTGCAAAGACTTTTTTAATGCAATACATTTTAAAATATGGTAGTGAATAGATGGAAAACGTAGGTGAAACAGAGCCAGAGGATCAGAATAGAAGTGGAGGTGCCTGTGCAATGATCTCACTTGATATATTATCCTCCTTGCAGAGAGAACGCCTTCACAGAATCTCTCTCACAGTTAATAATGCTGATGAACAATATTGCACTCTTTGAATGTAAAACACGTCAGTGTGAAACAGCGACCTTGGCTTCGCCTTGCATGTAGGAAATCAAAAGGTTAAAATTAGCACAGGGTTTAGCCTTTACGCTAATCCATGTCCTCCCTACTATTACACACAAACACACCAACATTTTGTCTGGCCTTAGTTAATGTCTGCTGTATTCTTCTGGGAGGTATAGGGAGAGGTGTTATTTGGACCATTATTCGGGTTCTCATGTAAGGGTCTCATTTTCAGGCTTCTACAACAACGCACACACACACGCCCCTTTTGGACAGGAAACTTGTGTGTGACACAGATCTAATTAATGCAAGCTCTACCTGCATTTGACCCCCATTCTTTTATGAGAGTGCTACACAAGTTAATTCCTTTTCCCTGGCCTTCAGGAGATTGTAGTCTACAGTCGCAGTAAAGGTCTGTGCAGGAATGGGTTTTTCAATCCTGTCATCCACTCTTACTGATTGGCTGTTGAGTATTCAGTGCTGGTTGAAAGTCAGGCTGGTTGATGTGTGTGTGTGTGTGTGTGTGTGTGTTAAACCATTCAGATTGACTGCCTACGCGTATTTAACCCCCATTGCTGCAGTCTGCCTGCCGACATGTGCACAGTGTGTGAACAGTTAGAACGTCGGGGTTTTTAACTGTTGGTCAGACAAATTAAGCAACATGGATTGACCACTTTGGGGCTCTGTGGTAACTCGTGATGACATTTGCCGTCTCGCGTCTATGTTTAGGGTTCAGCCAGTCAGACATTAGGGCCGATCACATATTGAGAGTCCCTAATAACTGAGCTATTTCCACGACAACTGAGTAAACTCCATATGTTGACGGTGACTGTGAGATGTTGATGTAGATGTAGCCCTGGGAAAAGTAAATAGACCTTGATTTGAGATTATTTTCACATTTCAAACCTAATCAATATATGCTAAGACACTGCAAGCAGTGCACCCTGAAGACGTTGTGAGGCTTCTTCAGAAACCACACCGAGATTACCTTTGGTGCTTTTGTACCCTGTACTCTTCCTCTTTCACTGTTGTCAACAAAGTGTGTAAAGCAAAAGCATCCTTTACGTGAGCTGAGATACACATCACTCAGGCTGACCGAGGTGTTAGTTATTGTTTCTGGTTCTATTTGTAATGTACTAAACAGAAATCGGCACACTCAGGCCATGTTGCTTCCCACAGAGCCTTGGCTTTTTGTGTTCTTTCAGAAATACACAAGCAGAGAACATCGTGTTTCTTATTCTCACTAAAAGATGTGCATGCATTTGTGACGGTACAGCTTAGTCTTCTTCACACCTCTCTCGGATTGGTCTGTCTTTGCAACATTTATAATTTATAACATTATTACGACCAAAAAAAACCTGAAAAAAAAAAAAAATCAACCTTGTAAATGTGTTTTCACAGTTCAGAAGAGCATTCCTGTATTTGGTCCTCTCAATAGGTGGCACTGCAACACCACAATATCTGCTGGAACTGGATTTTCAATTGAAGGCCACTTCATGTTCATTGGCCATTTTCAAGCAGCGCATTATAAAAGTGAAGGAACAAATGGAGCAGAATGTTAATGTGTAAATGTTCTTTTGAGATGCTTTTTCTTTTAGCCTTCTTCAGAACGGGGTACAAAAGATGAGAAGGTCTCTTTTCATAGTCAAAACATCTGAACAGATTTGATGGTCTCTTAGACGTAATCTATGTTTAATATCTTTTTTGTTTTAGTGTGAAGGGGCAATATTACTGAATGTTGGTGCTCAAATAAGTAACTGGGAATGGATTTAGCATAATTGAGACACTTCATTTATCTATTCAATTAGCATTAAACCTTTTTACAGAGCAAGTTTAACACTTTTCATCTTCATAAACGCTTGAATAAGAGATGCGTAAGAAACGGCAGCCCCGAAATATATCTGTCATGTTGGAGCTGAACGTTGAAATGTATTTTATTCATGCAGAGTATTTTATCAGCATTTATTCTGGTTGACGCTTTCTTTTTTTTTTTTCTTCAATGACTTATTTGTTAAAAGTGAATTTGCTGAGTGGCTTTTTACTCGGTACCCCTCTCTCTCTCTCTCTCTCTCTCTCTCTCTCTCTCTCTCTCTCTCTCAAATAATAGTCCTCACTAGACCTTGTGTGGAGGACAGACCTTGTGGCACTGAGCGTTATGAGTGATATATTAAAATATGTCATTTATAAAAGGATTGCTGCAGGAAAAGTTCATTTAAATCTTGATTTGAAAGACCATAGTTGTTTTTTTTATTACTTATAATTGAGATGGTGCAGTGACGCACTATTGTTTCATTCGTTAAGGAGAGACCTTTAGAAGTCAATTTTGCCTTGTCATGAGAATTTGCTATCCTCCGACTTGAGCGATTTCAGAAGAACAAATAAGATGGAATAACTAAACCGATAGCAGTGCTGCTAACGAAGGCTATAAAGAATGAAGTTTTCAAAACCAGAGGTGTATGATACTGCTTCTCTTCTCTGTTGTGGACTGCCCGTGCAGTGTTTTCTACATCAGCGTTTTTTCCTCTACCAGAGGTTGTCTCAGTTAATTGAAAAAGATGATATCGGAGTGTAATTAAATGAACGAGGCGATAGCGGAAAGTAAAATGAATTCGCTGATATTTACAAATGACTGTTTGTGAAGATTTGCAATAGTGAGATCTTGAAAAAAGAACCCATTGCTGGTTAACCAACTGGCCCTGTTACTTTAGGGGAGCCACAACTTCACTTGTTAGTTTGCCTGAAGTTTTAATTGTGACCGTGATTGGGTGCTAAGAGACGGACTTGAGCTGTTTCTCACTTTCTCCTTTTTAGGACCCAAACACCAATAAGCACCTGGCTGAGGCTGCAGCCAATGCATATTTTCATTATCGCTTAACCTGCCAATTATCTTCTTGATGAATCTATTAGTTGTTTCATTTAAAAATAAGACTCAACAATGCCCATCACAGTTTCCCAAAGCTCAAGGTGATGTCTTCAGAGGACTTCATTTTCAGAGAAAATCTGCAATTCCTCAAGTTTCGAAGGAAAAACCAAAGAATCTCACTGCTTAAAAATTGCAATTGAAATAAAAATACTTCCTACACAGCTGCTAGGCCTTTTTTTAATTATATATGTAGCGTAAAAGCCGAGTGCCATCTACTCTGCAGCTGTGTCATGTTTACGCCGTCCTGATGCGGAGTTTTGTTTGTCCTTTGATTCAACAATGTTGAAAGCCACCTGTGGCTTCCTTTGTCCCATGCCGATTGTTCGGTGCTGCTGTGATTAGATGCAACAAGACTCAATAAGTTCCAGCTGAACATCCTGATGTTTGCGTATAGTAGAGGCACACGCTGGGTCCACGAGCTGCCATGACGCACTTCATCGCAGAGACTTGTGCACTGGGGCGCAACAGCTGGCACAAGCGGGTGCTTTGGCATCGTTTGGTCTAAATAAAAGAAGTAGCAAACATTTTTGATGAATGGCATTATGTCGATCCATTCATTTTATATTTGAACATTTTAATGTTCCATACCATTAATCCTGCAGGAACAGAACAGGTGGACTAAGTTACTGTTTTCATCTATTATTCAGGACGCCCCTCTCCCTTAATTTGCCTTCGCAGAACTAAATAACAAGTACTTGAATAACAATTAGAAGTTAAATTGTTGAGTGACGCTGTTGAGAGAGGGTTTCTCCTGCTGTTAGCTTCTGATCACTTCTGAGTCACAGACCTGTGGATCATTACAGTGTCATTCCAATGAATGTTAAACAAGTGTGCAATATTTGAAGTGTAGGGGAAGGTGAACACTCTTCAGAACAGAGGCCGGGGTGGGGAAAGTTGAGCTGAATTTGGTTAATTATTTCACAATTTGTTGGTTGATTTACTGTTTTTTTAATGCGCTTGTAATTTACTTCATAATATCAAAGTTACTTCACTTTGACCATTTTCTAGGTGCATTTTGACTCCTTTTTAACATCTCATCCATGAATGAAATCATTAAGAAGAGCCAATGCTTTGTTGTTCGTGCTATTCCAAACACATAGTCTGTCAACCTGTGGGCATAAGAGGTAAAAGTCTGACAGCTGTGTCCAATTAGTTTGACCAATTGTCAAGCTCATCAGCGGAGACCAAATAATTCCTATATTCAGCATATGGTGGGTCATTTTATTCATCACATTATTTCAGACGCATCATATTATTAACATTCTCTCAGTCTGGTTCTTTTCCTGCACATTTTGGACAAACATGTATGATGTTAATCTCGGGGCACTCATTAGGGGGTTGGCTCATTGACAGGTTGACACAAGATTTTATTTAATTAAGCACTGGTGTGTGTGTATTGATTTATTTCTCTTAGGCGCTGTACGCTCCGCTGTTGTGCTTGAAGGAAACCTAACCTTTCCAATGTCAGTTTTTCTTTCAGCATTTCAATATGACATCTTTTTGAAATTTAATATTTTCTGTATTGACTTCCCTTTCCTCATTAGGGTTATTCCTTTGGCCTTTTTTTTTTTTTTTTTTTTTTTTTGACTCCGTTACACCTGTTCGAAATACAGATGGCAACTTTCCCAAAGAAGTCTACGGAAACAAACAAACAAACAAAAATCAGCTTGAGCGGAAAAAGGCAGCAGACAAAAGTAGCTCGGCAGCACTGAGGTAGCTGGTGCGCACAGATAACAACGGGGCAACTGCCAATCTCCTCACCGACCTCACAAATACATCCTTAGTCATTCTCAGACGCAATCCATGCTTATATGACTGGTGTCGCCGCTGTTGAGCAACACGCCATTTGGTGTTACACATTTGCACATGTGTTTAATAATCTGCTAAACTGCACTGCTGGGTGCCGCAAAAGGATGGAAACTTTGTCACCCACCCATGGTGCTCGGTGATGATTGTACAGGCTCCTGGGGAATGTAAAGGTATGTTAATGAGCTAGCCACTACCATTCTTACATGTCAAGTCCTATTGAACGCCTTTTACATAAATGAGCGGAAGGATCTCTCTCTCTCTCTCTCTCTCTCTCTCTCTCTCTCTCTCTCTCTCT